CTAAATTCCCAGCTTGCTGATTTGAACCATCATTGAGCAGAATAAGAAGCAAGTAGCTGGTAACCTGAACACAAATCATATTTTGATTTTCAGGATATACATCTGAAAAATATTTCCAGCAACCCATGCATCCTCCAAAGGCTGCCATTGTTGCCAGCAATTTGTAATACTTCAGATCCACGACTTACTCCATTATATTTAGTTGGAAATGGTTTTACATGGGCTTCAATTAAAAATGGCGTAGTTTTATTATTTCATTCATTTTAACCTCTTTAAATGTACAAACTTCAAAGGGAAGATTGGAAATGAAGAAAGTTGGGGCTCCGCTAGAAGAGAGTCAAGAAAATGTTAGGAAGCATGGACGCTAAGACAGTCAGGACACGACAGTAAAATAGGAACAAAAACTTCAAGTGTTCATATGCAAATTAATGAGCCGTTTTATGTCTATGAAATTATAACTAAAACTGCGACACAACCAAAATTTGAATTCTCTGACATTCTGAAGTCTCCATGCCTAACAGCTTCCTACACATTCACTCAGGATTTGCTTATCCTTTAGAGCTTTCAACATGCTCTTGCTCGGATATGAAACATTGCCAAATAAGCCATCTCGAATTTTTACTACCTCCAATAAGCAGGTTGTTTTCAAGAAACAGAACCTCAACGAAAGAAGAGTTTAGGGATTAAGAGACAACAGCGGTGGATGCAGGTAAGATTTGATAGTGATATGCTATGCAACAGAGATTAGTTTTAAATTCTCAAAATTCCCCACAAATTACCCTCAGCAAATCCTATGGGTGCCGCGTGTTAAGAACGAAAGGACGGAGACTGAAGCGAAAACGAAAAGGAAGATGCTAACCTGAAATGGAAGATGCAAAGTTGCAGCTTTTGAAGCTTCCTTGGCTTTCCCGGTCTATTTCGTAGGATGATAAGTCTGAGAAATTGGGTAGAAGGATTAACTTTAAGCGAACCAGAGGAGCGTGGGAGTTCAGAAGTACCTGGGAAGAGAAAAATCTGTTGTGGCAAAATCGGTGCGGCGCTTTAAAGTTTAAATATCTTACGTATTATTATAATAATTAATAATACCTCCGGTCTAATTATAAAAGCTAATCGATTAATTTGAGAAGATTAAAAAAATGAATTAAATTAGTTGTTTGTAATAAATAGGTATTGTCTTTTCTAAAATATCATTACTAATCAAGTATATTATTGGCTAGAATTACTATTATTAGAAGGATTATTTTGAAAAAATTGAATAAATATGAGAGATAAAGTGAATTGGGGTGTTATAATTAGGACCAAAACAAAAGTTAAATAAGAACTTATATTAAGAACCAGAGGCAGTATTTGTTTTTTTTTTTTTTTTGTGAGAATTACAATCAGATCTTAAGGCAGGCATTTAATTACTTTAAATTGATTGACAAATAAAGAATAAATAATGACAAGTTTCACAATAACATGTTTAGGCTATTCACTTATTTTCAAGATTTTTTATAATTAAATTTTTTTTAGAAAATATTTAAAAAAATTATAATTGAATTTTCAAAACCCTAAAAGATCATTTAAATTTACAAAATTCTAAACAAGTTATAATGACTAAATTGAAATTTTGACATATTTGTTGAATTTACAATTTTACCTTTTAATTTTTAAAAAAAATCTCAAAGTCACAATCACTAGCAACCGGTGCTGAAGCTTCGGCCGTCGGCTTTTTTTGTTTGAATTTTTTAACATTCGCAACTTGATTACCAACTCTTATAACAATATTCACAGTTCCATTAATATTATTTATCATGTGTTTTCTAGGTTTTTAACTGAGATTTTTTAAAATATTTGTAACATTATTGATACCTCGTGTTTTTCAGGGTTTTAAGCTAGAAATTTTTTAACATTTGTAATATGATTGACAATTCATATAATGTCATTCATAATTCTATTAACATTATTAACTATTTTATATTATATATTTTTAAACTTAGAGAAATTCTTTGACCAAAAAAATTGGAAAAATTAATGAATGGTTAACCTTATGAAATTTTTTTAACACTAATAACGTGGTTAATAACTCTTTTTATGAGTCTCACAGCTCGATTCACGTTATATGACATGTTTTTAAATTAATATTACTAATTTACTCTATGTTTTAATTTAATTGAATAAGTGAATATTGGGGTGACTGATGATGGTACTTGAGGTTTTTGTTAAAAAAAAAAATTAAGAGCAACATTGTAAATTTATTAACATTTTAAAATTTCAATTTAGTTATTATAACTTATTTATAATTTTGTAAATTCAAGTGAAATTTTGAAGTTTTAGAAATTCAACCACCAATTTCTTTTAGAATTTTTTTGATAAGTCCCTTTTTTTTGGGAATTTTCCTTTTTTTCACGTTAAGAAAGTTAAAAATTGATACTAGCAATAATGATACTAACTACGGATTCTTTTGCCAGGTAGAATTAAGTGGAAAATACTTAATTAAGCAAGATTAATGGTTTGAACTTTATAAATGTTAAAAAAAATCGTTATTAGAGATATTACAATTGGGCTTAAAAATAAGAATAACAAATTTTCGATTATAAAAATCTGATATTTTTTCTTTAATAAGTCTGTTTCTTATCAATCAGCTTTAATATTATTTTTGAGAAATTAATGAGTTGGTTTGGCACTGATGTACTCTTTTTTTTTTTTTTGTGGTTCTTATCACTATGATAATGCAGTCATGCAATAAGAATTTAAACCAACGAAACATGTTAATTCAAATAGGGATCAGTTGCACCGGTAAACATGTTTTAAGAGACCACTAATTCCAACCATACAGGTCACCGGTAAACATGTTATATTTAATAGAATCAACCCCTTTTTAATTTTTTTAGAAAGGAATTTCAAATAGGGATAAATGAGTAATTTGCCTTGGCTGAAAAATTATGCATGCAAGAGTTAACAAATAAATTGTATATGAGAGAAGAGACCACTAAAGTAAAAAAATTGAAATCGTTCACCTCATGAACAATTTCACTTTTTCGACGTCACACTCAAAAAACAGTTCTTTGAGTGAACGAGTTCTGCATAAGTTTAAAATTGTTCCTCTAGTGAACAATTGGCATTTTGAAAAATAATTCCCATCATATAGCATTTGGTTTAGGGTAATGTCAAAGGAAACATTGAAAAGGCCAAATGACATTAAAAACAAAAGATCAAGTACATCATAAGGTAATGTCAAAGGAAACATTGAAAAGAAATTAAGGTGTGTTTAAATAAGTGATGACAAAACTGACTTTTATTTCATCTGATTTTTGTAAACGTGGGTTAAAGTAGAAGTTAATTAGTGTAATATGATTTATATTTGGATTAATTTTTATAAAAGTCAGTTAATAAATTAAAACTTATTTGGATAAGTAATAAAAAAACAAGTTCAGATATAAAATGATTGAAAATGGTACCACATTCTCCAAACTAATTTGCTTGATTTATAAATTTATTTGTAATCTAGTAATATATATAAATATTTTAGAGAGATCATGTAAGATATGATATAATCAAATAATTTATTTAGCTTCTATAATTTCTTCAAATCCACTGGGTCTTATATTGGGGATTTAACACAGCATATCACATGTATATAATTTGATAAATTTAAGAAACATAATAAATGAAAAATAATTAAATTATTACCGGAAAAAAAATCATATTATTAGATTAAGATAAGACTCACTTATATACTCTTATTATTCTCTTCATTTTCATTGTTTCTCTCTCTGCGTTAGACACGGAGAAAGTTAAAATCCCACCCAAACAACCTTCAGTCTGGAAACAAGTCTCAAACTTGTGTTTCACGGGGTCCCAGACACGTTTCCTCGTCGAAATGGCAATCCCAACACGCTGTCAGTAATTACAAATGAGGGAGAATTAACTACAACTACATTAAAAATACTACCTCCGCTTCTTAATATAAGATTCCGTTGACTTTTTATTTGGTCCTAATTATAAGACCCCAATCCATTTTATCTCTCATATTTATATATTTTTTTTCAAGATAATCCTTCTAATAATGATAGTTCTAACCAATACATTTAATTAGCAAGGATATTTTAGGAATGACAACACTTATTTATTACAAATAACTATCTTAACTTACTTCCTTAATCTCCTCAAATAAGTCAACTGGGTTTTATAATTAGGACTGGAGGTAGTAATAAACAAAGGGAGAAAGGCAGAAATGTCTTCCAAAAAAACATTTCCTGTGCCTATCCTTCTATTAGCCACTTGATCAAATTGTTTAATTGACACCAAGAGTTGTAGTAATGTGGTTCCAAGAGAAAATAGTGAGGATTCAATGATTCAAGAAAGAATGAAACGAAGACACTTCTAACATGATCACCTCTCTCCTCAAGCCCATTGAAAATATTGGAGAGGCTGACCTTGAAAACACACCCAATAATGTCACAGAAGAAGACACTTCTTGCTTTTGGCTGTATGTAATATTATGACCCAACCATTAGAATTAATGATTGGGTTCAGATGCAGAAAATAGCTAGGAGCCAAATGTGAATTAACTAGATTATGAGTGAAGGCTAAATTAGAGAAGGACAATAAATTCTAGATATCTCTCCTGCGACATTGAGAGGATTTGAGATACTCTTCTCATGTCATCTAAGCCTATGTTTCTCTTCTCCACATTCATGCGTATTTGGTACTTAATTAATTTAGATTCAAATGTTAGAAGATTCTAAATAGATATACCTCCTTTAAAGTAACTTCTATTTAAAAAGTTAAAATTACGCTTTTGTTTCACAAATATTCAATTTTTTTACGCGATCTAATTATCATTAATACATTAGCTGTTCTATTATTGTTAGTACAGCACGCTACTAAAGCTTGAGATTAGTAATATGCAGATAAGCAGATTTTCATCAACTCAAGTTCATGAGGCACTTGAATCAGCTGATCAACTCTTAGATAGTGATCATTTTTTGCCTCATAAATCCTCGCTGGTATTTTTGTGTCAACGTGAAGTCAAGAAAAACTTTCACATAGGGGCAGTTAGTATCTCCCCATGGTGATCCAAGTCCTTTCTGACGAATATCCAATTCAAAATCTTCCGTCTTATACACATTATAAATACCAAAAAAGGGTACAAGAACATGGACAATTACAGTATGGTAGGATACCATAAATCCAAGAACATGGACAACTGTTTCCTTCATATGCATTGCATATGCAACACCATCACTTCTATAAGCTCCATGGCTTCCATCAAAGCTCTAACTTCAAGGATTCCTCAGTCCAGTTCCATGGTGATATGTCTACATATTACATGTTGGATTTCCTTTCCCATCTCTCCTTAGTATCAAGCCTACAAATGTGACAACGACAATTATTGTGAACAGATCACATGGAGTATACAAAATCCAAGCCAGACAAATCAAACAGATAAATTATGAGAAATTGGTAAGGGTCCTATGCATTGCATGGAGTTAGAGAAACGAATTGTACTTGACATGGCACATAATAGTAGGGCAGTAAGACGTCCAATGCAACAACCGTTTTAGAAGGTTTTTTAAGTGATTAAAAAATTCAGTGCGGTAGATGAAAACTGTAGGAGACAATTATACTTAAACAATTTAACTATACAATCCAGTTAAAATTTGTGATGTATAACTTTCTCAAAGGTACGATTGTCGTCCTTACAAGTTTCATCTTCTCACTGAATATTTTAGTTCCTAAATAAAAAAGCCCTAAAACCGCCGGTGCATTGGACACAGAAGGGCAAACGCCAGACTATATGAGATAACATGTCCCACAATTTCAGAGAGCACATGAAGAGTTATGAAACACGCACAGCATGTCAAAGCGTTAATGACACATGGCCAGACACATTTAATGTATTTCAGCAGACTCTTATCCGCCATATGTTTCCTTTCAATTAGGACGTGTCTGGAAAGTTGTCCATACCAATTACCATTAGTTTTTCTTTGGAAACTTAATAGGCACCTTTTACGTGCATCAAGAACATGAATTGTAATGCTAGAACAAGCATATTTTATTCTAATCATCAAGAAATGAGTGCTAATTGATAAAAAGGGGAAATCAACCAGGTCAAGTAATACCCACCCCCAATGCAATTTCTGTCGCTTCTTTGATGTGTAATTCATAGATACATTATCCTGCTCTATGGAGGATTCCTTTTTGTTATCATAGACTTCACAATTCAAAAGACTCGGCTCCTTGCTATCAACATTTGAAACTTCAGAGTCTTGGATGCTGAAGTCATTGACTTTGGATGTTTTGGCATCACCTGCAAGACACGAAATTTCAGATGAATATTAGAAGTTAAATAATATTTAAAAAGTAATAATAATAACCTCAACTATAAAATAACCAGAATAACCTTTGGCTTTTGCATTATTCTTTGACTTTGATTTTATCTGTAAGCGCCTCCTGTGCAGTTCCTATGACATTTAAATTTTCAGACACTATCAGTGAGGATAGTAATAAACATGTAAGTAACTACATAAATATAGGGGTAGAATTGATTTACATTAAGCCCCAAAAAAAATGACAAAGAAAATAATCTTCAAGCACCGACTAAATCTTCCCAGCAGTGAATACCCAGATTCCTAATCAAAATTTGCATGTTGCACTCAGACATTCAACATTATAGTTTTTAAGTCAATAACACGAATCTAGCTATACAACAGCAACAGCTACTTAGCGGAGACAGAAGCAAGAAACAGACATTTCCACCCTCCATGTCAACCAGTGAACTCAAATTGTTTTTGTCTAGGCCTTTTATACAAGAGAATTATGAAGGAACAAAGAATTATTCCGTGGAACAGCCTGTTAAGACTTGTTGGGTGGCATGGACTTTGCCTCAACACTAGGGAGCAGTTTCTCCTCATATGATTATAAGGTTTTGGCAAGAAAAAGAAAATGTTCAAGGAAATGCGTTCAGACTAGATACAACAGAGAAGAGTTTCCTGGTTTATTTGGCTGGAAAAGAAGCTGAACTCTCAAAGGACATCTATCTACCCTAACATTTGTTGGTTAGGATGGTTTCTACGGCCTAACTTTGACAGGTTTTAAGGGAAATCTCTCTTATCCGTATGCAAAGAGAATGACTAACCTTGCATAATGCCTAAGCTATTGTTGCCTTTTTCTGTTCTTTTCTTCCTCAGTTCCTTGTTTTCCTTGTTATCATGTAGGATAATTTATCCTGCCACAAATTTTGTACCTTTCAGTTCAGGAGTACAGCTAATATTTCTCTTGCAGCAAACTAAGGGTCTATCGCATATGCTTTTTTAGCCCACAACAAAAACCCTCTTGGAAGTTCCATCAAACTATTGGAAGCCGAAAACTTATTAACGCCTCTAACAGATCATTGCAATGAAATGGATACATGTCGCACTCAATTTCAATATAAACATCAGCATGAAAGTAATTTTTTTCCTGCAAATATGGAAATATTCTTTCCTTTCTTTGTCGCCATTATCCCCAGCAGCAAGATGCATAAAATTCTCCAAATTTTCAAATGATGGAAATTCTGAAAGGCAGACGTACTAGACGAAACTAGCCAGATCACAGAAACATCGCGCCTAATTATTAATTAAAAAAAAAAGAAAAAGAAAAGAGTCATGAGAAAGAGACTAGAGTACTCGGAATCTTAAAAGCTGTTCGGAAGTGAGTCCTCTGGCTGCGAAATTGGGCCGTAGACAAGGCGTTGATGCGATTGCTGCTTCTCTTCTCCGATCCTCTTCTTCCTTTTCCATAGCCGAGTTTTCCCACCGTCCCCGACTCCGTCGGAAAAGTTCATCGCCGACACATAACAGCAAATATCGGGCGGAAATGGAAAAACAAACTTATGGAACGACGTCGTCTTAAAGTTCGCTGTTTTCCTTTTTCCCCTTATTTAAATAAGTAATAATTAAATAAAAATTATAAATTCACAAAATTCAAATTAACTAGATAGAACCCCGTAGGATGCACGAGGCAAAAGGGAAGGAAAGAAGAAAAATAAAGGAAACAACAATTATTGCTCGAACTGGAAGAGATCAAGATTCTCTGTACTCCAAGTCGAAAGGGATCTCAAGCTAAATATTTTTATATCCCGGTCGTCCAACATAATTCATCCTAATATAAATGTGCTTATATGAAGAATTTGGTATGATTCGGGCTACAATAATTCTATCTATGTGTCCAATCTTTCTTTCCTATTAATTAAAATTTAATTCACAAATAAACTCATATATTATCCAAGTTTATAGACCGTTTGGTTCAATTCATTGCAAACTTACCATGACAATCATGATTATATGTCAAATAGTTGACGGTTTGGTTGCTTTTTTAGTATGATAAATCTTTGCATTAGTAACAATGATTACCAAAAGTTTGATAATTCACATTCATACCTCCCCATGAACTTCTAACTCACATGATACTCTACCCTTCCTCTCACAGAGGAGGTTGCGGGTTGATGAGTGTGCATATAAGGGTGTGTGGGTCCCTCTCACTCTTATATTGGGTGGGGGGTGTTGAGGTGCCTAAGTATCAATGTTTACTATAAATCTATTCCCCACGAAGCCGTGCTCCAACACCCCTTAATATCGGCTCCTAACCTATTTCACTGTTCACAAGATGGTTTTCAGCTCATTGAAAGTGACATTATCTATATATGGCTCTGTGTTAGCTGATGACGATGTTCTCTCCAATGTTGGGCTGCGTGCCAATACTGGCTCGTAGTTAGTCACTGTTTCTCCGATTGGGCAGTTTCTCTATCTTCGTAATGTGTGTGCGCTGATATTCCCGGTTGCTGCTCCTCATGATGTGTTTGCTGTGATGGTGTGCTTCATTCTATGTGCTCCTTTCATTTGTTCTTCTGATCTTTTGTCGAAGGAACTTGCACTTGATTCGTCCGCTAACGACCCTTTCTGTTCTTATATTCAGTTTATACATTTTAGTTTAATGGAGGACGTCTTTTTCGCTTGTGAACTGATGCGCCTTAGATTTCAAAGGGATTTCAACAGGTATGTTTGGTGATCATTAATGGAGTACCATAAATGTCATAATAATTCCTTCACCGAGATATTGAACTGCTTCGCATCGTGTCCGTTCACTGATACACATTTTAATAGGGTACGATTTATCTACCTGTTAACTGATCTGTCTCATACTTCAGAGTTGTTTCGATTTGATTTCGATTTGAACAGGTATGTTTGGTGAGCATTTATAGTTCTCCATTTAATGTGTTAAAAATATATAGACCGAGTTACTGAAGCTTTTCACAGATTCATCTCCTCCTTTTGGTCGTTTCTCTCCTTCCCATCTAAAGAACGTTCTCCTCTCTATATATACATGTATGTGTTGTTGACAACTTAACTCTGGTCACATTTACTGTCTATATTCTTCTCCTGTTGAGGTCTTTGAGATGGCATTCGGTCCTGCTGTCACGATTTCTCAGTTGACTGAAGGAACAGAAGATAGAGTCCTCAGTGTGAAGTTGGACAGGATAATAAATCGGGAGGTGGTGGTCAAGTCTCATTGTCACAAAAGGCTTGTCAAAGTTCTGGAGTCGATGGATCTGGTTTTATTCGACGGACCTGTAAGTTCACATCATTTTTTTTCCTTCTTTTCTCTTTTCCTTCATACCACTGTCTAACGCCACCTTGTCGAAATACATGTACAGAACACCAGGATCCTTTTAAGGCTATTGAGCGATGAAATCATTGATAGGAATGCATGAAGACTATTGAATGGTTGTTGTTACAAGGTTGCTGGGTTTCTTGTGAAGTCAGGGGGCGAGGGTGTTCATCACTCATTTCATTTGGTTGCTATGACAAGGACGTTGATCACTGAAGGCACTGACATCTTTCCAGCCTATTGTTTTTCTTTCATGTGTATATCTGATGTTCTGTGGGGTATCCCTGCAGACTGGGGTTTGATAGGTCTGGGTTTGATGCATTATTTTTTTGTAATCGATTCCTATGTTATGTTTAAGTTATATTCAACAAATATGGTGGTATATTCAACAACTATTTTTTTCCATTTCATATATCTAGATGTCTGTGGGATATTCAAGTTCATTTTTGAGACAGGGTTATCCAAATAGGAAGGTCTTAACTCTAAAGCTGCAATCTTGATGCTAAGGGATTCTTAGTTGAGTGTCTAACATATCGGCTATTCCCATATATCATTCGATCTTTGTTTGGTTCAATTTTTTTTTCATGCTTTTTTTCCAGCTGTAATGCTATCTCTTTCATTTCTCTCTACAGTAATAATGAGGTGACTATGATGCTGCACGGTGGTTTGGTGGAGACTGCACTGGCCAAGTTTGAGGGACACATGGATGATGAAAATCTTTTTGCCGTGGTTCAGTACGTTGTTGCAATGGGTCATGGCTCTCGAGGTATGCAGAATCTCAATATGTGAGACTTTTTGTTTATGGTTATGCCTTATATTTTTACATCCATAGGATAATATGATTTTACTAAGCAGGTGGTCCTATGTTGCACTCATACTTCGATGCCACAAGGGTTTTTGTGGATGAGAGCTGGCCAAAGACTCAGGAAGTGAGGACGGAGCTTTTTTGCTGAATCTTTGTCTTTTTGTTAAATGCAGCCAAGTGTTGTGTATAACTTAATATTTTTTGATGGCTGCAACTTATGGCTCTTGCATAATACTATGTTATAATTATTACAAACTTAGTTTGTTGTGGTTGATAGTACTTCCAGTTTGGGTTAATATTTTGTTACCTGCTAATGCATCTTAGTGGTTTAATACTCATCATTCGGCTATTCACAGTGTGATATTTTATTATCTTGACTACAGTTATAGTTCTATTCCCAGATTGGTGTTTTATCATGATAGTTATATTTATATCTGTTTGTTTTGGTTTTTCTGAATTTTTTACATAGACAATTGAATAGTTTTTGCCTTCGGTTACAGATTTTTCTTACAATCCGAAAAAGGCTATTGGACAATAACCTGCTTTGTTCTTGTATTAGAAGGCCATATATGCGTACAAGTAATGTTTGTGACACTTTATCTAGAAATGTGATATTATGAGTTATATAAGAGGTATTTTTGTCACGGTAAACTATCAATTTGTTTAGAAACATTTTTCTGCACCGGTGCAATTGATCTTAGTACCACTAGAAGGTTGTGTTCGTCTCGGATAAACATCTACATTTATTCACAGAAATACTTTTCCAAGTTGATCTTGCTTATAATTTTGGTGTGATTCGTGTGCTGGAAATTATTGATAGAATAAACAACTCACAACAGTTAAATCTGTGAATGATATTAGGTAAATGATATTTAACTTAAGATGCATATATTAAAATTTTGTTTAAAGAAATACATTCACAGGTGTGAAAAGATTTTTTTGGTAAGTTGTTCTTGGTAAATATTAACCTTAATTCCCTTAAATAATATGTTGTGTTTAACGTATGGAGAATCTGATGTGAAGAAGCTTGAACTCAATAATTATAAATTTAAAAGTGAATTCGGTAACAGAGGAACTCTATTTTTAAGTGCATATGATTTGGTTTGTGTTTTGTGTTTGCATTGGTCATGTAGTTAGGATGTCATAAAAAGTCCACTAAAATGAAATCCACAAATATGCATTGAGACAAATAACACGTTGGTCACCTAAATTCAGTACATGAGTGGGAAAAAAAGCATTAACTCACATTAAGAGGATGAAGTTGCTAGATCTAATTACTGTTGGGGTTCTTAATCACACGCGACGAATCCAAGCTCAATGCCAATTTCTAAAGATGATGGGAGAATTTGTTCGTAGTCCACCACTGGAGCATCGACCATAGTAGCTTGGTCTACTGAAGTCGAAGTCTCATTGTGTTGGGACTGATTATCTTCGATTTCTGATGTGTTCTCTTGGACGTTCAGATATGCAGATAAGAGTGTTGTGACCAAGAGTCTTCTGTGCCTTCTATGAACGAGAGTGATCTTCATGTAGGTTTCAGACCATAAGTTAAATACAAGGAGAGGTTTCCTTGAATTATTAGGGTAATTGGCCCAGCAAAACTAGCTGTACATTCTTATCCATGTCAAGTACCTATTGTTTCTTCTGATTAATGTTGATTCATTAATATCCCATGAGGGGCAACAGAAGCCTTCATTTCTCATGATCCCATAAATGCACCGAAACAGAACATATTGTGGACCAAACCATGTTACTGAACCTTCGCAAGTCTGCCCTGTTTGAGTGATGTGTAAGGATATACCGGAGTTGAGGAGGTTTGGCCCTGTAGACACTTGAAGTGGTCCACAGGTGATTTGGATGAAGATAAAGCCTTTCCGGCGCCATCTTCTCAGCTGAGAATATAGGTGGCCCTCATTGAATGGGTAAAGGATATTCATCCCTGGGATGGTTAATTTGCTATGATGAAATGAATTTATCATCTGTGGGTTGTAGAATATAAGTACGATGGAGCTTGGTGGCCAGGTCATGGTTTAGATCAAAGATTTTTCTGCTTTATATTAATGGTTGATGTGACTTGACTGAACATATGTTGTCTTATCTTCACATGGGGTGCCTTTTTTTGCCTTTTCAGTTCTTTTATAAGTTTTCACAATTAGGGAAAGTAATTATAACAGTAACAACATGGCAGTCAACGTTGTCCAAAAGTGGTGAAATCTTTTTTCTGGGCATCTTTATTGAAATGCATTTCTGTTTCCTTCTTTACTTTTATTCAAGGTTTCCCTTTTAGCATAAGTTTATAGAGCTAATAAATGTAGGCAGTAGGCCAGTACAGCCTATGATGACTATAAGATTTTTAAATGTTAGGCTACATTAAATCATCTATTAAGTTTTCTACTTATATCTGATATTGATTCC